TAACCAACCGGTCTCCTCTGACCAGACTGACCTCTGTTTACCGGCGTTGATGCTATTTTCGTCGCCTGATAGCGACACACCCCAGAAAAGTTAACTGTTCAATTTCCTGAAGTTTTGAGTTGCGGTGGTGTACTTTGTTATATTGAACATTTACTTAATATGCTGGTTTTTTCTCGATATGCAAGCTTCATTCACTTTGTATGCAGTCATAACAATGACTTAACTTGGATTCGTCAGTAAATTTGAATTCACATAAAAATCATTCCATGATCGTAACAATAATTATATAAATGGAGCATTCACAGTACATATTAATAGATATGTCGAACTACGCCTACGAATATGTACTTATGACGTTCAAGTTCAGGTCTGTCTGTAGTCGATCCGTGTTTGGAACAAAAAGGAAAAATTTAACTTTATAAACTTACATATTTACCAGATATCTGAAATGTACACTGCGAAAGTGCAGTACACGTTGCATATGTCAAAAATGAGGTTCCGTCAAAGGACCAGGAAATATCGGAATCCAGGATACCCTCGTTTGTAAGCGACTCTTTCTCCAGATTGAGATAATGGCGAGGGTTTGTGCACGTGATTAGAATACCAGAAAAGCGGCTTGCAAGACCGGTTGGTTCTCTTTACACGGCAGGCGGCCAAATTCCGGACCGAGTATTACATGACTTGAGCATCTCACACTTGGCGTTTTCGAATCTGTCTTAAGTCATGTGTACAGTGGCAAAGCGATCAGTTTTTAACTCCTGACGTGTCGAGTTCAAATCCCGAAATAGTCCAAATTGTCTTACCGCTATTTTCCTCGAGCAATGAGTTTCACTCACGTTTCTTCGTAGTAACCAGTCGAGAAACAAAGAGCAAGTCGCTGACTTGCGAACAACAGGAGTAGTATGATTTTCTGGTGAGGTCATACCAGAATATGCGAGTGATATGGTGACGCTGTTTGAAACTAGCGTCTCATAGGGCTGCAGTTTGCTTGGACTCATCTAATGGCTGATTATTCAGCGTGATAGTCGGTAGAAGGTGCAACCTCTCTTGTCGTTTCTTTCTTTCAGGCTAGATGGATGAGTTCCGTTATTACGAAGGATGCAGACCGCGCACCGCACTGGCTACCTGACTGTAGACGTTGTCTTCAAAAATGAGGCATTTTTGTGCTCTACCGGAGGTTGGCGCCTTTAAACACCACAAGGAAGCGGCGTTGCTACCGGAAGTGTACGATAGACCGAATGAAACTTCTCTTTTCCTGTCTTCCCTTTTCCTATTTACTATGCTGTCAGTTGCAAAGTTCTGCTAATCTTAACTTCATGACATTAACTAATGGTGTATTAAACCGTGCTAGAAAATTTATTATTATATTTTCCGGTACTGCGACTACCCTAATGGGCTTCAGTATGGTTTCCGTTATGGAAACAGTCGTCCTGAAATTTTACAACATTCGCATGTCGCTCGCCTTTAATACTTTCATAATTGGCGCCGTTTTATACTCTTCCTGAAGCTTCTGGTGCGCGGCTAATCTCTATCGCCGTTTCATCAGCCAGGAATGCTTTCATGTTTTCAAGGCTATATCTACAGCTCTGACGCACGACCTTATTGTTAGGTCTCTTGTTACCTGTCCACGAAGAGGTACTCGTTTATTAGTGTCGGAAAGAAGAAGGACGAATGACTCCGTCGGCGTTAGAATCCATCCGCTACATCTCGGCTGTTCGTGTCTGACCCTTTTTCGATGAGCAGCCCCCGCTGACCTGGCTGGCGTCGATGGGCGTACGAAGCTCCAGTGGTCCGGTTCGGTCTCTGGCCGAGGAGAACGGCACTTCACACCTGCCGGCACTTCTGCCTTTGTTTTTTGCCACCGTCGTTTCAGCCCATTTAAGCCGCTCATTTAATGTCGTTGTCGATAGTTTTTGTACCATTGTTTGTTGACAATGAGCCTTAAATTGGTCATCCGAAGCTCCAATATACCGGACTTTCCGGTTCATCGTCCAGGCGTTTATCACCGCGCTTTCGCGTGTCCTTATTTCCACTTCGTTTCGCAGCCCTTTCGTGCCGTGTTCGAAACGAGACCTCCGAGGGTGGGGGCTTTGTGTTGTTAGGTATCGCATAAATGGGGTGCGACACGAAAAGTAAAATTTGTTGGCCACTTTTACGAAAGCATGCCGTATCGATAAAACAGGTGTCGTAGAAAGTGAGGAGAACTTTCGAAAGAAAGGAAAGTTTGCAGTCGTTGGGAAGTCAGTCTTATAAGTTTATTGAATTCTTATATGATTCGTAATAGTTTTGTTCCATTCAGCTTATGGTTCAGTGCGATCACATTTGCCAGGGATGATGTGTTTTCTTGTAGGAGTATTCCACAGCGTAGTGGACATAATAATGTGCTTTCTTTTCACGCAGTAGTACTTGTTCGTGCGCCGCAGAAAAATGAAAGGCGAATTTTCCGGACACAGCTGCAACTACGATCTTTCGGCTGTTTCACTGATTCCGTCAATTGGCCTAGCTTTACTTTTGATGAAAAAGATATAACAAATGAATAAATATGAATGATTTGATAAAAGAATGAAGAAGAAAAAAGCAGGAAGCAGTACTACAAAGTTTGTCTGTCAAATTTTTCGAAATGTAAACGATTTAATCTGAGGGTGCAGAAAAGCAGCGAGGTTACCGAAACTCGTCCATTCAGCCATGCAGTAGGTAGTTAGTAGCCGACGGGTGTTCAGCGTCATTAATTGCTGTTGTTTACGCAAACGATGTCGGACTGATCGCCATAGACTTTGTGTTAAGTTGGACGAATTTGAGGAAGCCGCAAAGACTTTTTTCTCTTTGCACTGGCGACTGTAGTAGGTGTGAAGCTGGGATCAGATGAACGGCTATTAGGAGATGGTTGCCAGCGTTCACTTTGCCGAATTGTTTCTTGGCTGCCAACTGGCTGTTTCAAGCGATTGGGGAGTTGATGTCGGAAGTTGATCATTAAATCGTCTGGCGATTGTAACGATCTTCAGATGGACGTACTGTAAAACATAAATGAGTTAAAACGAGGCCACTGTCTACATAACTCGTAATTTGAAATTTGTGAGACATTGTTTCTAATTAGCAGCTTTCGATGTTCTTATTTATATCCGACAGTACAACTTGAAAGCTGGTCTTAGAGATAAAAGAATTTCGCTTAAACTTATTGCCGTAAATCTATTTTCGTTGAAAAATGATATTCATAAGCATGATTTGATTGCACACCATGCAGACAGTTAGTCGTGCGATTTGATGATGACGGTACGGTCGATTGTCATCGTTTCGATTTGTATGTGACGATCTGCATCACAGAGTCCATGGTGGTTTTCGATCGTTTTTCTGATCGTCCGCCGAAGTCATGATGCTTTTATTGATTATGTTTAGAATACATTTTACTTCATTTCCTCTCATACGAACGATACTGCCAATAGTTGGAAGCTACACATAGCTAAAGAGTTCAACCCCTGCTACAAACTTCTTATATCCAAAATTTATCACGCTTTTATAGTTATGTCCAAGAGAGCAACTTTCTGACATTTACATAGTCGATTTTATTTGATGTTCAGGTAGTCCAAGCAGGTACTTTCAGAATGCTGCTACTTGTATGGACGACGACCGGTGTGACTGTTTCGGATTGATCGCCACATTTTGATATTTTTTATTTTCTCTACCCAAGTTTGGTTGCACATTCTCGCCCAGGGTAACGATGGCACATCAGTAATCTCAGCTGTCTTGTTTTTTTGCGATCCAAGATTGACATCTGATTATGGTCAACGGCACGGTCGGTGAGAATATGATGGTCGAAGTATATGGTATTTTGGCTATCTGCAAGCACCTTCACCGAATGATGTCGATTCTACGGCTTCATGTGTGTAGTTAGACCCTTTTTCAACTGCCAGTTGTTATGCCTCTTAGGTACTCGGTGCCATCCAAAACGGAACAACTTGCTACCGTATGTTGGATCGATTCTGTTGTATTGCCGGAAATCCAACGTGTTTTCCTTCAGCATGTATTTTCTGTACTTCTTTGTGAGTACAGCTTGATCTTGTACTGCTTTACAAGCCTAGTTTTTAAGCACCACGGTCTTTACTGATTCAGTGGTTTTGGGTGTACGGCAAAAATCGATCGTAAAACCTTTAAATAGTGCTTAAAATTATAAACTTACAGTGATCACATGGTCCACTGATCAGACGTTAAACTGATACGAACAGATACTACACTCATGCGGATTTGAGATCAGCAGCGGCGGAGTTAGTTGTTTTGAACTGAACTCAAATCTGTTTAAGGAATTCACCCAAAGCGTTTCCTCAAAGCCGGACTTGAAGATTGTCCAGCAACCATGTTTCTGGAAACAGTATGTCCCGGAGCATCGTGTTGTGTGTATTGTTCTGGCGACAGTCCTTGAATTTTCGGTGCAACTTCAAGCAGTGTCAAATAACGATTCTTTGGGCTTTCACCGATCTTCCAGTTCTTTGCACTTGAGCCGGGGCAGTTTTGGCTGACCAGTTTAAGCTTGTCTCCTTTTCCTCTGTGTTATATATACCGTTTCGATTTTTGGCTTAGCGAGCCCAGCAGCATCAGATTATTTTGAAGTTTGAAACTGAGTTTATGTTAGGCTCATTGAATTTTTTCTCCTCATTCTATCCTCGCAACCTGTTTTCCCTCGTTCTACTGTGCCAGTAAATTCTGATCTTGTCCGTTATTCATCGTACTGTGACGTCTTACCCGTTTTTTTGCTTGTAGTGATGAACCCGCGATTCCGGACACATGTTCGCACCAAGGTCGACGTGATGCTCGGAGACCGGCTGAAGCTCCGCTGCGATGCCGTCGGCAAGCCTAAACCATACGTGCACTGGTACCGGAACAACGAACTGATCCCGAGCGCCCGTTCCCTGCCCCGGATGAAGATCAACCCTTATTCGCTGACGATAATCCCGGTAACGAATCGCCGATGTCCGCGTCTGTAGTTTAGCATCGACTAACGTTCCTTTGTCCTGTAGGTTCAGCCTGACGACGAGGACAAGTATTCGTGCAAGGTGTGGAATCAGGTTGGTCAGATCTGGAGGAATTTCACCGTCCGGATCATGGGTACGTATGCGACGCAGCTTCTCGTCCAGCGTATATCGGTTTTTCGTTCTTTTGTGTCGATCTTTGCCCGTGGTTTGAAGCGCCTGAAAACTGATATGCCTAACGAAGTGTGATAAATCCTCTCAGTTATGACTCATCATAGAGTTATTCTAAGAGGCGTTTTCGAGGCGGCGTAATACTCCAAATTATACTGAATTACAATGTTAAAACAGTTTGACTTGCACAATGCTAAAGGGCAAACATTTCGCGTGTTAGCAGTGCCACTAGTGCTGATAGTAGTGGTAACAGTACTTGTACTGTAGTAGTACTTTTTTGAACACGTGACTAGAATGCGCACAGGGAGACTCTTAAATAGTAGTCTCATGGCAAATCTATAGGAAATGTGGCCCACTGCAAACCGCATGCCATATGGCTCGACTGCATAGTGAGTGACCTTGCATTGTTGTACCTTTGAATCCAGACCACAGAGTTTGCCGTTTGCCAGTGAATCGAGACCGTTGGAAATGCTTTGTGCAGCGGTTTTTGACAGCCGGTCCTTCGCCAGAAAGGAACTGTGGGAATCATAT